TTGGGTGGTTACTGTTAAAATTTAAGATTTGATCAGTGTGTGTTTTCTTGCGGTAAACCTGTGTGTTTATTGTTCCGTCATTAGTTCGTAACTAGACATTTTCCTATTCCAAACGGTTAGCAAGATTATTTACTAACCTTTCACACTTTACAACAGTTTTGTTTTCCTATTCAATAGATATATGGAAAGCAACATAATACACACACTAGCTAATTATGAACAAAAAAAATACAAAAGCAAAAGAAATGCTAGTTCAATGTTTGAACTGTAACTAACCAACTCCACTAAATTTGTTAGATCTATGAAGATTGCCTTGATAAAAAAAAAATTTAAACAATGTGGTCACATACTGATTTACTGTATTAATAAACAACAACCACCCAGAAGGCAAGATCCCCAATATAATACTGTACCTCTCTTTCAGGGTCATCTTTCGTAAGATCAATACAGTCCTGTGAGAGTAAATTAGTTAAATTTAAATATAGCACAAAACCTCAGCATTTCATGTGCATTGCTGAAGTCATGTCCATAAAATGTGAACAGTTACTAATGGCACTGCAAGGAAAATGCTGCCAACTTAAAGATGATGTAAAGTCTGTTGTACATCGGTTCTGCTTGACAAAGGCCACCCACATATCAAAACATTACCCTAATTTTGCATCTTTTAAACTTTTCTGTATTGAAACTCTATTTATATTGTGTGCATTACTCTGTCTAATGCCAGACAATTTAATCTTCTGGGGGAGAGGACTGGTGCTTAATGGGTTTCACATAGCAGATAGGTCAGTTAACCCATAAAGTGCCAGCACTCTTCCAGGTCTCTCCTTGATGAGTAAAATCATCTGTCTACCAAACCTACCTCATCAGAAATAATATGACAATCTTTGCATTCTGCAAAAAAACATATGTTATATTACGAAATGTAATTGGGTTATTCCATTTAATATGTGCCCCCCTCCTCTCCTATTGAGGGCTTTTTAAAAATCTTACTGCTTTGGAAATTCAACATCAAAGTGCCGACATATTTCCCCCCCACCCTCCTTGGAAAATGGCTTATGTTGTTCGAAGATCAAAGAAGCCGACTGATTTACCCCCTTGGAAATTACCAATTTTAACCCCCCCTCCTACTTGGATATCCATGACCCTCAAGAGGGGGGGGGGGTACGTAATGACAGCAAATAAAAAGAATAAACATAAATATTCATACCTTAAAGTTCTGTCATGCTTGTTGTTTTGCGGAACTCGAGTCCTGGCTCGAGTCCTGACTTGAGTCCTGACTTGAATCCTGCCTCGATATTTAGGTACCCTATAATGTTTGTTTACGTTGGTTATATAATCTTTACATGACGTATGATGCTGATTGCGTCGTTATAATTTTCTTATATTCTTCTCGCTCGACGGCTGTGATCTGTGATGAATATGCTTATTTTATATTATATTTTGAAGAAAATATTGTTATATTTTGAAGAAAATATAAAGCAAAGCTTGTAAATAAACCGGCCGTTATTTATAATGTTATATATTTGTAATTGTAGGTGCAAGCAAGAAGGTAGCATCGGTAGCAGTGTAGCGACGACAAATAGCCTCGCCATTTCAGGCCTCATTCAACAAATAAATTCTTGGAGCATTCCTTTCAGCATAATATTGCTTTTTTCTAGCCGCCTTATGATAAGATAAGTTATCGTCGTGACTCGCAATTCAAGCCTCTTTGCCTTGCGACATAAAATAAAATAATTGTGCTCCCGAACTGCCGTTTGTTATACAACGCGCTACTATCGCATATTATTAACATTCCAAAAGTTGCTCCCCCATACAACGCGCTACTATCGCATATTATTAACATTCCAAAAGTTGCTCCCCCACTGATGGAATGTGTTGATGCGCGGAATATATGCGCAGAACGAACTTTACCTCATCTTTAAATTTCAGACATAGATGGTAAGATCAGTTACAGTATGACTGAGTTGGAAGTGGATGTTTCTCATGGTAATGAAGTGTCTTTATAAATTATAAGTTTTTAATGAACACTATGATATAATGAATGGTTATTTAAATTTACAGAGTTCAATTCAGGTTGATTCAATTCAAGTAAAAGTGATCAATGATCACCATAATGGTAATTATAATGATTTGCTATCAATTTTAGACACTGATGAATCAAAGAAGCAAAAGTATTGTTTAAAAACCTTCATTTGCATGAGCAAGGTGTATCAGAGTGATAACTGATTAAGCAATTTAGCCTGAATGAATAACCACCCACATTTGAACATATTAGCATTTTAAAATGTCTGTAGAATTATTCATTTGGCAAATTGTAACTCTAAAGTACACCTTAGAAACTCAAAACCAATAACATATTGTACTTTTAATTTTAGTTTAACCATATTAAACTTTGAATTTTAATTTGTGCTTCAGTAATTTATTTTAACAAACGCTGGATTTGCCACTTAGTGTTTTCACCATTAATTCTAAACTAGTGGATTTTCGTTTTATTAAAGCATCTGGTGCTCTTGATGATAATATTATGCAGGAGGATTTGCCCCAAGTTTTGCCACTAGAACCTTCAGTACCTCGACATCTGCGCGAGATATTGGTACGAAAGAGTGACATTTTAAAAACTTTGGTACACGAATTTGATGATCCTTCTATACTGCACGACATTATTGCTTACGTGTTAATTGGCGATAACAGAAGTCTGGAAATGGGTCGGGGATCTGGTGTAACACGTGAAATTTTGAGTCTCTTCTGGAGGGAGTTTTCTGTTTCGTTAGCAATAGGAGCTGCAGAGAAAGTGCCATCTATTAGGCACGACTATCAGTCTGAGAAGAATCAGTGGCAAACTATTGCTCGGATTATAGTATTTGGTTTTCGACAAGAAAATTACTTTCCAATTTTCTTTTCGAAAGCTTTTGTCATTAGCTGACTTTTTGGGGAGCAAGCCATGACCAAAGCATGTCTGTTCGACTCATTTAAAGCATATATATCAACAGACGAACAGGAAATGTGGGTTGTCAACGGGAAACACACTTCTTCTATTCTTTAACTTGTATATTTCAATAGTAATTGTGTATTGCAACGTGGTTTCTAAATACAGAAATATACATTATAAACTATAACATCACGATCACAAAGAGATATTACACAAGTACAAACAAACAACAAACAATACCTGACTGTTGACTTTGTTACATATAAAATAAACCTAAATTTTAATCACTTCAGTGCCGATGCCCCAACAGCATCAGACAAGAAAAAACAAACATGTGTTTTGCCCCCTTTCGGGAAAGCCCAACCCATATGCGGGTTAGGCCAGCCTAGATCTTACACCCGGCCCCTATCGGTTTACCCGATACTAACAAATAGTATCTAGGCCTAAACAGCAAAACAATTAATGTGAAATATATAAATCGTTAACTTAACGTGTCCTTAATCGGCTATCCAGTTTATCAGTTATAGTGTTATTTTTCAACTTTGCCCTCTTCTGATTTGTTGAACTCGTCTACTCCCTCCAAAAAACATAGTTGTCGAATGTCTCTCCTCAGGGTCGTGTGATGCGTTCTCACAGTAACTTGGCGAATGTTTCCGTACTAGTTGGGAAATGCTTCTTCGACAATAGCCATAGGCCATAAAGCCCTGCTTCCATGTGCGAAATTTTTAAGCGAAATGCGAAATATTTTGCCTGTTTCTTTTGAATTGTGAGCAATCAAGCAGAATTAATGTATTCAAGTGGTCACAATTCAAAAGAAATAGGCGAAATATTTCGCATTTCGCCAAGAAAAAGCGCCTGTGGAATCGGGCCCTTGGAGAGGTTTAGCAAACACAACGCAACGTCAAAGAGGACGTAAAAATGGCGTGGCAAATACTTCCGGTTAAATCTAGGACGGCAGTCGCGTCGAGTCTAAGCCGTGAAATCACTCATTTTGACGTCGTATCTGGGACGTCAAATTTAAAACATTTTGTTTTTGAAAAGAAATAAGGTAACAAAGATTTTTAATAAACAAATATATCAATCATAAATTTGCACCTACTTTATTAACATTTGACAATAAACTGACCTTTCCTAGGGTCAATTTTAATTAATAACCGGAAGCACTTTGCGATGAACCAGAGTGTTGCAATACAGTAAACAAACTTGCATGAAATGCACTTTCGCTATTCAATTCCCTTATATGAATATATATAACGTCTTGTAATTTCATTAAATTTGGAAAACAGGTTTCCTACATCCCAGAAAGGTTGAATCAATCACTTTTCGAGGATATATTTTGAAAAAGTCAACCAAAAAATCAAATTAAAATGATCTTTTAGGAACTTGAAAGCTCAAGGCCATCGTCGCCAAATATTAGGCCTTTTAGGGGGAAATCAAGTCCACATCAAGCTCCCAGTCGGTTATTTATAAATTGAAGTCCGTCCAAAGCCTTAAAAAGAGTACAAAGACGAACGGCATTTAAGTTTTTTTGCCACCCCGAAAATATAATCATGTGTTCGCAGTGCAACCAGTGCCAGTGTTGAAACTTAAATAAATTTCTATCGATTTATTACAGGAAATATCATCAAGCGATGGAAAATATAAATGAAATTGTCAAAGAAAAGCATCAAAAGAAGTATAAATTTATTGTCTATACAGAACATACATTTTTCTGTCTACTCAAATTTTATTAGTTTAATATTATATACGACATATTAGGGTTGTATTTGTGTATAAGTTTACCACTGTCCACTGCACTACTCTTCTGTCTAATTCATGTTAACTTTGTAACTTGTTAGGCCATCTATGGTATGGAAAGATAGTATGGACTATACTATGCTTCAGAAGATGGCAGCTGAAGGTGTTCTTCACCAAAAACCAAAGCCCAGGAGCAGGGGAATGTCATGGCAAAAGGTTGTTGGGAGGTTAAATGCACTACCAGGCTTTAATGTCAACACGAAATCTGTTCGGGATAGATTCAATCTAATAACAAAAACAGATAAAGCAAAACTTGGCAAGGAATAGCATTGATATGAGCATTGATATGACAGAAGCAGAAAAGCTCTTGGAAGAATTAATCAGGATTGAAGAAGACACAAATGAAAGGGCTGATGAAGAAAAAAAAGCAAAGCAGATTGATGGGGATGAAGATAAGGCAAAAGCACTAGAGATGAGAAAGAGGGCAATGGAGACCATGGGAGAAACAAGAGAAAGATTAGGAAAAGTTGGTGTTGAAAAGAGAAGAAGATCAGGAAACCAGGCAATGTTATTTTTGGAGAAGGCAATTGAGACAAAGCAGAAGATGCAGGAAGAGGAAAAGAGGGAAAGAAGGGAAGAGCATCAAGAACAGATTGAGCTACAAACTGCCTTTTTGAGGCAATTAGAAGCTAGCAAGCAACAGCAAACTGCCCAGTGCAAAATGACTGAGCAGCATCTGCTGCAAAGCATTGCAATGCAGCAACAACAGCAGCAGCAGCAACAAATGCAACAGTTTGCAGCAATGCAAACAAATATGATGGCTCTAATGGAACAGCAGCATCAGCAATCAGAGATGATTCTGGAACTTTTTAAAAAAGGCCAACAATAACCAATAATAAGGTTTGAATATGTTTGATATTTAACTGTGAATAATTTATGGCAATTTTATCATTCCATTATACAATATATTGCATTTAAAATATATTATAATATATTGTAATAAAATGTTGATTCAAATGTAAAATGTTTAAACTTCAATTGTTCTTCATGTGAAATATTGTTCCAAAGTCGGAGGTGACAGTTCGAAAAAACGAGACACATTATTTTCATATAAACGTGTATGTGCATTTTGAAGCAATGCAGAAACAATATAGATCTTTCCAATATTGCACTCAGGTTAATCTTTTGTTGCTTTTTCATATCAATGAATGCAAAATAATTGCAGATGCTGCCAAACATCCATTCAACAGACACCCTGACTGTGCTCATTGCTTTATTTAACTAGAAATACGTGCATGCAGCAACCCCTCGCCATTTCAAACGAAGGAAAATATTTCCTGAGCTAGCCAGACCTAATCTTCAATATTAGGAAATGTCCTTGATGTAAAGCCGATAGCTGATGTTTCAAATTTTTCGGAAACAAATACAGTCGTAAAGGTGAAGTGAAATCACCCGTTTTCCTGCTGCTTTCCGTTGCATTAAGTTATAGACTTTCACAGTTTAAGTGAGAGTTAATACTCCATTATAGCTAAACCTTCAAAACATCAAAACAGCACAAATAATATAAATAACCAAGCAGTGAACGTCGAATGTTGTTTTTCGATTATTAAATTCATGCAGTGATTGCAGTCGAGTCTATAAACCTTTAAAGTGATATTTTTTATATTAAAACACCAAAATACACTTTTAAGAACTCTTTTTGAAGTTAAAACGATGATGTAAAGCCTTAAATAGTCGGTCACATCTTCGCAAAACCGAGCAAAACGACACACTGTACCAAGCTCATAAGATGTATTCGTACAGCAAACACAAAAGAAACCTCGAAATAAACAAAATAGACTCCTACCATTTCAAGGATTATAAACCAGTTGTTCCTTTTCACCGCTAATTCTTCCAGTTCTGATAATATTTTAAACTCTTCCCAGTGTTTTATCTGTTATTTGATTCCAAATTTCATATTGCGTTTTCGAAACATTTTTTTAAAAGAATAGTTGGCAAAATGACAGTTAAATTGCTGACGTTTTTCACTGAAACACGAACGTTTCGTCTTAGCCAATCAGCAAGTTGCTAATTACCAGTCGTCACTCGTTCAAGTTTTGCGCGTGCGCACTATTACCATGACCATTGAACGTCCATGACATTTGGGCGACTTTGGATTCCGCTATGTTCTCCCGGGTTCCGGGTGTAATTCCTAATCTCCGGGCGGAATTAGTACCCTCGCACGGTGCTCCGCACCAGCTCGGGGAAAATTCCATTTCTGGTGAACGTTGCCAGTCTCTGAATGGACATTGCAAATGTACACCAAGTGGATATGCTGGATCACCATACAGAGTGAGTGGCACACCTTTGTAAAATGCATGCTGCTCTAACAATGGTAAAAGCTCTGATTGATACAACATCGTGCTGTCATGCCTTTTCCCTTCGTACGGACCAGAAAGATTGGCAATCAACCCATCAGCCACAACAACACTTTGAAATTTTTTTGCATTATCCCTTTTGTGACCATTGTATATGGTTCTTTGATGTTGTTTTGGTCTGGCAATTCTTTGAACTGTCCCATCAACGAACCCAAAACAGTTTTGGAGGGGTGCCCCATGAGCATGTATGCTATCAGCATACCTGCTTAGATTTTCAGGAGATAGGAAAGGTTGTTCAAAGCTTTCAAGGCGATGATGATGTGCATTAAACACAAGGCTAAGCATTTTGTTGAAGATTAGGCAAATGTCAGTTGGGTTACGGCCAAACCTTGTGACCATGTCGGTGTAGCAACAAGGGTAGGCTAGTCTTTTCAAAAGGATGCACAAACCTTCCAAACCACCACAAGATGTTCTCTGACAGCAAATTATTCTATCAGGAATGCCAAGACAGTTAAGTAATTTTAGAATGTCAGTTTTCCTGAATCGCAATTCTTTGTGACATTCAGTATCATCCCAACTTTCAAAGTCAAACTTGTCAAATTTCCAATATATAAATATTTCACGCGATTGATTGGTTTGATATAGATAAACAAAATCTTCTATATCAATAACATCCGATAAATAAGCAATGGTAAGTTGTTCACGAAACTCTTGCAAACCAATTCCTGCCATTTGGCACAAATGATTATTTGGCGAAAGTAAAGGCACAGGCACAGCTGTGGTAAAGGCACAACGTGATATTCGTAATATTTTTGAAAATTTAAAAAGTCGTACTGTAATTTAACCGTCTCAGGAAAGTCTTCGAAATTGTGAGGCATTCAAAAATATTATAATGTAATCAAAAAGCAACCTTTCCCATTTCCTGACGCGACATAGAGAAAGACGTATTTACATAACGGGAACATATTTGTTTCATAATAGTACTAAAGTCTAAAATCAAACTTACCCAATCGAACATTCTGACAATTGAACCTGTTACAGATATCCTTCCCGGCCAATTTATAAACACTGCGAACTCTCGACAAAAATCAGGAAAACTGCTTAATTTGAAATTCAAAAATTTGAAATTCATTCAAGAGTAATTTTCTTTATTCTTTTGTACTGCCGTCGTCGTAAAAAACAGTTCTTGAAAAGCTAAATCACAATATGTTTACGACGTGGGGCTGTACCTCGACAAGAAAGGTATGAAGTGCTTCGGCGTCGACGACCTGCTCGTTTGTTAGCCCTGCTAGAACTTTACGGATGGAATGTATCATCCGTTCCCATACACCGCCTGCGTGGCTGGCCAAAGGGGGTTGAAATGCCATGAAATCTTGCTCATTCTCAGACGGTCATTAATCTTTCTCTGTGCTACTTTGGTTTGCATCTTCTTGAATTCTTCGTTAAGGATTATAGATCCCGCAACAAAATTTGTACCATTGTCACTGAAAACGTCCTTAGGCACGCCTCTCCTGGCTGTGAATCGACTGAACGCACAAAGGAACGATTCTGCGTCAAGGGAGTTCGCTACCTCGATGTGGACTGCTCTTACTGCCAGGCAGGTGAACACGCATCCGTATCTCTTCAATTGGCTTCTCCCTCTCTTAACCATCAGCAGACCGAAATAGTCGACTCCGGTGGTAATAAATGGACCTTCGGATACAGTGACTCTCGGTGAAGGAAGTGGGGCCATGACTTGCTCACAAGGTAAAGAGAATTTCTTGCGGCACTGAATACACCTACCTAGAACCCATCTAATACGAGAACGACCTCCAATGATCCAAAACTCTCTCTGCACCGCAGCGAGGACGGCGCAGACACCCATGTGTCCTGCCCTTTCGTGGAAGTGTCGGATTATCAGTTCCCCAATGTGATGTTTGTTCGGGATAATAACGGGATGTTTCGAGTCGAAACTAATCGAAGCTTCATTCAACCTGCCGCTGACTCTGAGAAGTCCTTCGTTTCCCTGGAACAGTGACAATCTCGATAACCGACTCTACTCTACTTCTAACTCTACTGTCAAGGTTCCGGCCCCATTCGCATCTCTGTAATCACTAACTCTTCGAGAATCTCGTTCTCTGGAACTCTTTGTTCTCACCAGGAACTTCCAAAACCGAACGAGCCAGGCGACGCCTTTTAGAAGCTTGTACCAAGAGGAATAATGCTGGATAAACAAGTCAAGGGTTTGAACCTTGTCTGCCGTGGTTTCAAGTATAACTGCGTCCTTTCTCCATTCAAGGTGCTCTTCGTTCAATACGTTTATCTCTTCTGGAATTTTCGGCAACTTGACTTCGTCCTCGTAGAGAAAGGTAGGGCCATTGATTCACTGCTCTATTTCGAGTTTGTCGCTTGGGCGAAGTCCCCTTGAAGCATGATCAGCAGGGTTGGCATCAGTGTGCACGTATCCCCACTGTGAAGGTTTTGAAATCTTATGAATGGTTTCGATTCTATTTGCTACAAAGGTCTTGAAACGACAAGTCTCGTTGTTCACATGCATACTGCAGAACACAAGTTGAGTCCGTCCAAAATTTCACCTTGTCGACTGGCCAGTCGAGCTCTTGTTGGATCTGGAGATGCTGTCTGGCCGCGACTACCGCTGCTGTCAACTCAAGTCTAGGAATCGTCATTGGCTCGACAGGTGCTACCCGGGATTTTCCCATCACGATGGAACAGTCATTAACGTCCTTACAACGTAAGTAGGAAACGCAACTATATCCACTTGAGGAGGCATCAGAGAAGTGGTGCAACTGGACTTCCATTACCTGTGCAAGTTGAGGCGACTTAAAGCATCTTGGGACTGCAATACCATCCAACTGAGTCAAATCTTTCAACCATCGTTCCCATCCTTCTCTCATCTCCGGAGAAATCTCTTCGTCCTAGCCAATTTGATCTTTGCACAACTGCTGCAAAAGACGTTTTGCAGGCAAGACAAAGGGGGCTGCAAACTCTAATGGGACATACATCGAACTAACATCGGAAAGTATTCCCCTACAAGATGCGGTGTTCTTTCTCTTGATTATTCGGAACGTAAACTAATCGTCCTGCACGTTCCTCTGCACTCCTAATGCTCTTTCTACAGGTAACTCGCTGAAGTCAAGGTTCGTGACAGATCTCGCGCGTTCTGGTTCGGGAACAGAATCGATGACCTCCCTTTCGTTGCTGATAAACTTGGTCAGATGAAAGGAGCACTTTGCCAGTAACTCACAGAGCTCTTTAATTAAACGGATCGCCCTCTGGGGGCTTGACACAGACTTTAGGAGACTGGCGTCTGGACCTTGAAGGAGCCGCTTGTTTAGAGACACATCTTCGAATTGAGCGGCGCAATCGAAAACTATTCTTGCTTCTGGGGCTTTTGGGGGTGAATGACAGGGTGGTGTGGAAGGTACCACACGTCTTTCCACGGGGACTGCTCGTCAAACACAGGACCTTGCTCTATCTTGGATGCAAACCCTTTCTTTACATAATCATCGATTCCTTCTTTATACTTGGCATA